GCTAGATAAGAAGGAATGTAAAGGAATGAATCAATCAATAAAATTACCTAGAGTAGCAGCTATGATTTATTCACTCTAACTCTCTGAAAAACATTCTCTGAAAATTCCTTTTGTTCTTTACCTTTTCTCTCATAAGTTTTTACTAGAAATCCATCACATAATAGTTTTAAAAGTTAGTCCGGTAATTAAACTGTATCGACATATTACATGGGTAATAAGATAAACTGTTGATATGTCATGGGTAATATATCGTGCATAAAATTATCAATTACTGCTTGCACAACGTATCGACATATTACATGCATTTTCAACAATGTCAACATGCGTTAAAGAATCGATGTCCCACACTAGGAATCTGGTGCATAAGTTTAATTCTGTCAGACAAAAATTCTAGCTAAGGAAATATCATTAAACTTTACTGGTTTTACTACATATAATATTATTAAACTTTACTGGTTTTACTACATATAAGTGCAAAATAATGACATCCATGTAACTCAAAGGCATTTGGATTTTGTATAAAAAAAAAAAAAAGAAAAAAAGAAAAAAAAAGGCCCTTCGAATTCATATTTGAGCCGTACTGATATTGCCAACAAATTCTTCACAAACAATTCATGAGTGCATATTTGCTTACCAATCTACTTAGTATCGTTGAATGAGTTTAGATTTTGATGGTGGTAAGCAAAAGTATTCAGAAATATGTAGTGGTAGGTATACGGCCAACCTAACTAAAGCTGAAACTTTTGGGGCCCTAGTGCGAAAATGAAAAATAAGATCATCTCTTGTACTAATTTTTAAAACCATGTATTAATGCCATAAACTAAAATTTATAACTCCGAATCATCAACAAAAATCATCAATTTACAAAAACTCATCGATTTTATTGTTTGACTATATTTGTCTCCTTTCTCTATTATTTTTGTTAAATTAGCTGTCCTATCATTTATAGGCTAATATGAAACCTGGCATGTGAATTTGATGTTGTTTGGCGTAACTCGTTTCAACTACATATCTGCTGGCTGGGCTGTATTTGCAAAGCGAAACAGTTTGACAGGAGAAGTTCGCATGGTTCCACATCAAAGTGCTCCAAACACCACAGGAATTATTCATACGCAGTACTGCTGCAACTGATTCAACAAATTTGTTAGAAATGAGTAAGTAGTCCTGCCTGTAATTAGTAATTCTAAGTTGGCTTTGTGTTGTACTATTGGGTTTAAATTCCTGAGCGTGTAATATGTTGTACACAGAATCAAATTCCGAAAAACAAAAACAAGAATCTTTCAGTCACTTGACAAAACCACCTAACCAAAATTCAACATAGAAATGGAGGAAGTGCAGGTGGTCATCGTCGGTGCTGGTCCGGCCGGCTTAGCAACCTCAGCGTGTCTTAATCACCTTAACATTGCAAATGCGGTACTCGAAAGAGAAGATTGCTATGCTTCTCTTTGGAAGAAAAAGTCATATGATCGTTTGAAGCTACACTTAGCAAAGCAATTTTGCGAACTTCCCTATATGCCTTTCCCTTCAGATACACCTACATACGTCCCCAAGAATTTGTTTGTTCAATACTTGGATACTTATGTATCCCAATTCAACATAAACCCTAAGTGCAACCGAAGCGTGAAGTCTGCTTTCTACGATGTGGATTTAGAGAAATGGTGTGTCAAGGTCGAGAACACGCTTTCTGGTGCACAAGAAATGTATCTTGGGAAGTTTCTTGTGGTGGCAAGTGGTGAAAATAGCGTAGGTTATATTCCTCAAGTGCGTGGCTTGGATGGGTTCAATGGGCAGGCCATTCATTCAAGCAAGTATGAAAACGGCAAGAAATATGGTGGGAAAAATGTTTTGGTCGTTGGTTCTGGTAATTCAGGCATGGAAATTGCTTATGATTTGTCGAATTCGGGAGCTAATACTTCCATTGTTGTCCGTAGCCCGGTAAAACTTCTGCCTGCCTTTTTCTCCCACACAAGGACAACTAAAGTTGTTCCTTTTTTTTAAGCTCCTTGAATGTGCACTCAAATTTGTATCGATCATCTTATTTCAGGTACATTAATATTTAAACTTTTGTAAACATCGCAGGTACATGTTCTCAGCAAGGAAATTGTGTTCTTTGGAATGGTTTTGTTAAAACTCCTCCCAGTTACAATAGTCGACATGGTTGTCGTAGGATTAGGCAAATTGAAGTACGGAAATTTATCCAAGTACGGAATTAAAAAGCCAAAACAGGGACCTTTTTATCTCAAGGCTACTAAGGGTCGATCCCCCACTATCGACGTTGGTTGCATTAAGAAGATTAAAACCAGAGAAATAACGGTAAAATAATTTTTAATGCATAATTTATATCTTCATTCTTTATCTTGCAGATTTATAACATTTACTTATGTTGTTGACAATTAAAATAATTAACTATCGATAAAAAATTTCATCAGGTCTTACCTTCCATAACAAGCATAGAAGGAAATCTAATCAGATTTGAAAATGGCATCTATAATTGGTACGATGCTATCATATTTGCTACAGGCTACAAAAGCAGCGTTCTAAATTGGCTTAAGGTATGCGTTTATGTCTAATGTTTTCTTAGCATGTACCGAAGAATTGCTACTCTTTATGATATATACAGTCCAAATAACGTTGTTCATTGTTTTCTTGTGAAGGATGACAACTGCTACTTTAACGACAATGGAATGCCACAAAAGAGGTTCCCAGATCACTGGAAATCAGAAAATGGTCTTTACAGCGCTGGGTTCTCAAGCCGTGGATTGCTTGGCATTGCACATGATGCACATTGTATAGCAAATGACATTAGTTCGTGTTTGAACTTACACTGCAAGAAAATGGATTGACTGTGATGGATTATCAAGCGTGATACAGTAACATGGCATTCGTATTACATTCATGAATGTCATACTAACCTGCTGACATGATATTAAAGTTGAAGGATTTGTAACATTAGTTCTTTACATTCTTTGAATTGATTTTTCAGCGAGTTAATTGATTCTTTGCATTTGTTTTTGGAAGTTGTACCTGCACTAAGTATTTATGTAATACGAATTTACCTGCACTGCATATGATCCATCTTTCTTTTTTAGAATTAGAAATTTTCCTCTTTATTCGCATACAAATAGAGCTAATTAGCATAGCAGTCCGTTGGGATGTAGCTGCTTGTGGTAAGTATTGACTAAATAGGAGAATGCAAGTATTGTCCTTCAAAAACAAAAATAAAAAAAAAAAATTTTACACACTTTGTGTGTGCCTATATGCTAGTTTTTAATTAAACTATCAATATCTCTTTTAACCCAAATTTACTAACTAAATTACCCTCGCAAACTCAATTCAGTATATAAATTTGTCTTTACACCCATTTGGAATATAAAAACACAAAATCAATGTTCTACAACTCATTCAAGATTTGTCTCTCTAGCGACATGTGCTTAGCTGTCATATAATTTCTTTTATAAAATGTTGTAGAATACAATTATATCTGCTACCAAAAGATTCAAATTTGTTCCTAGGTTCATTATCTAATAGAATTTTTTTCTCATGAGATTAACTATTCCACTCTTTCTTTGTTTCTTCAACCGGTATCCTCTTGCATGCTTCACAGCACATGAATGAAGTCTCTGCTGCAGACACCAACTTCATGCAGAGCGTTCTGCTGCAAACATTGAGGCATTTATTGAGGAGAAAAAAAAATCTCTTATATGCAAGCATCATGGAAAAGGCGCTGATTTTGTTCCTAAATTTTAAATTCTTAAAAAAAAAAAAAAAAAAAAAAATCAAATCAAATGATTTTTTTTTTTTTTTTTTGTATAAATCGATTGATACTTTAGTTAGAGGATTTAAAACTTCAAAATCATCATCTATCAGTAAAAAAGAGTTTGCTTTTCTCTATGAAAACGTCTTAAGGTTTTAGTTAGAATGAACGTTGGATAAAGATTGTGTGATGGTAGAGTTTGATTATTAGGTGGGTTTATTGATACATTTTAATTTGATTATTAATTTCATCTTATACTTGATGGTAATTATGCAATAAGGTAGAAAAGACAATTCACATTTGAAGTTTAAGTTGGGTGTAAAGAGAGGTTATATGGGTTCAAATAAAATTTTCCAAAAAAATATGAGGTGCCAAACAATCCTTAAAGAATATTTCTTGTCTTTTTGGGATGTTGGGTTCATAGTAGACTTGACATTTTCAACCCGATCCGTTAACCCGACACGACCTGTTAAAATTAGTATTCGGATGAATGATAAACGGGTCTAGTGGTTAACGGGTCAACTCGTTAATCAACGGGTTATTCTGGATGAACCCGTGAAACCCGTTAAAACCCGTTAGTGAGGACTTTTGTGTAAATTCAATAGTCCTAAGCCCAAATGGGTGGCCCTATGCGGATCGAATGGCTGCAATCAGCTGGACGCGAAAAGAGACACCTCTCAGATTCAATCCCTCGCGCTCACCTTTGCTACGCCGCAATTCTCAACTTAGCTTTTGACATCCCACAAAGTCTGCAATTCTTCGAAATCCCGAAGACCCACTCCGCCAGCAGGGGTGAAATTTGCAGAGGGAGTAAAGGAATTGCCAGAGGTTGTTTTGTCCAGCGTGGACTTCATTGCTTTTTTTGCATTCGTCCAAGCTTATCCAAATTAATTGTTGTATGTTGATTTTGCTCCTGAATCAAAGTTTTGTTTTTGTTTGAGCTTAATTGCATTTTTTTTTTAATTTGTTTGTTTGTTAACCTGGTAAAAAAAAAAATTGTTAATAGTTGAAACGGATGACCTGTTAAGTACTGTTAACTTAACAGGTTATGATCCGTCAAATTAACGGGTCGAGTTGGACCCAACTCAAACCCAATAAACCTAACTCTTTTACCGGCCTAGTTCAGAGTATGCATTCAACCTAATTAAAGGCAAGTAATTTGACTCGTTTAGCTAACCGAATTAACTGGACTTTTTTGGGGTAAAATTATGTACTCCAACACCCCACGCTCAAATCGATAAAACCTAGTGAATAGAGCTTTCCTTCTACAAACCGGTAGTGCTGTTTTGAAAGACCTTTGATTCAACGTCTATGGCTTCCGCTCCCCCGGAAAATATTAACCGGCCAATATTTTCTCCGACGACTCCCCATTTTTTCAAAATCATTCTAGAGGACACTTCCAAAGACAGAAAATTTGTAAGAGTCTCTCTCCCTCTCTCTCGTCATCCATACATATGTGTGGCTACACCAAGTGAGAAAGTATTATCCGTTTCTTATGCGTGTGACAAATGTCCGCTGCAGTTATTTTATGATTACGATTATGTTTGTTTATTAGCAACAAAAACGAAGACTTTTTTTTCACAATTTTTTGATCAGTTACTTGGGATGTTTTCTGCTATGCAGGGAATTCCAAAGAAATTTGTGATGAAATATGGTGAAGGAATATCAAATCCAGTATGTCTTAAGCTTCCAAGTGGTTCAGAATGGATAGTAGAACTTAGAAGATGGGATGGTGAGGTTTGGTTTGACAATGGTTGGCCAGAGTTTTCCAAATTTTACTCTCTAGATTGCGGTCACTGGCTGGTTTTTCGATATGAGGGGAATTCCAAATTCAATGTGTGTATATTTGATAAAAGTTGCACGGAGATTGAATATCCATTAACAATGCCAAAGATGGAACTAACTTCTCATGATGAATCTCGTGACAATTCTGCAAATGATTCTAGTGATGATTATGGTGACGATTTGAGTTACAAGTCCGGTGATGGTTCTGGTGATAATTCTGCTATGATCTTAGATAAATTTTTACCTTGCCCAAGAAAAACAAGGGAGAAATCTACATTGCCAAGTCCTCAGCCTCACAAGAAAAGGATAACAAGTTGGAGTGGTAAGCATTATAAAATCTCACCGGAAGTGAAACTAAAATGACATGTTTGTTTCTATTTGTATTACGTATTGTGTTTTCAGCTAATCTGTAATATCCTACTGCAAATTGTTTTACAGGAAAATGTGATTTTCCAACCGAAAAATATGGAGTCACGTCGTCTAGCACTCCAAGTGGAGAGGTTGTAGCTCTTCGGAGAGCTATTGCTTTCAAATCACAAAACCCTTCTTTCATTGTTGTCATGAGGCTCAGTTATATCAACTCTGGGCTCTTGGTAAACTTTATAAAATTTTGTATTCATGTGTCAGTAAATAATATCGTTAATATTCTCAATCTTCATTCCCTTTTTTACTTTCTCATTCATGCTATCCTTCGTTATTTTTGTGTTCCTTCCAGTGGTTGCCATCTGAGTTTTGCAAGCTACGTCCTATTAAGAAATCCTGTGAGGTCATTCTTCAAGTTTCGGATGGGAGAACTTGGACTGTTGATTTGAGATATGAAGAAGGAAAGGCCACATTCAGGCGTGGTTGGATGGACATTGTTTGTGACAATAATTTGGAACTTGGTGATGTGTGTGTTTTTGTGTCAACTAGCAACGTAAAACCCTTATTTGATGTTTTCATTTTCCGCTCTAAAGAAGCGGCCAGTTGTAGCATTGATGAGGGAAAAACAGTGCCTAAGATGGAAGAATCTGATCAAGCAGATGGTGATTCTGTTCAAATCTTGGATGAGGATTCTACTGATGACTCTAGTGATGAGTTTAGTGAGGATTCTGATAACAATTCTAGTAATGGATCCAGTGATGATTCTTGTGATAATTCTGTTGTAATATTTGACAAATTTCCATCCCACCAAAGAAAAACAAGTAAGAAATCTTCATTACCATATCCTCAGCCTCAGAAGAAAAGCAGAACAACTACAAGCGGTAAAGCAGTCTAAAATCTAAGATAGAAGTGAAAACGAAAGAACATATATGTTTCTACATAACCATATTGTGTTCCTTTATTCTCTTCCTGTTCGTAATATTTTACTTTTTTTACAGGGAAATATGATGTTCCAACTGAAAGTGGAGGCAGTATAGCCCTTCAGAGAGCTACTGCTTTCAAATCTCAAAACCCTACTTCTTTTGTTGTTGCCATGAGTCCTAGTTACATCAGCTCTTATTTCTTAGTAAGCATTCCACGAACGTCCATGTTGAGCCATTAAGATTTCGTTTACTTGTATCAGTAGAAGAATCATCAATGTTTCTTTCAAAGATTTTCTTACCTTCTCCTTTCTGCATTGTTTTCTTCGTTGTGTGTTCTTTTCAGTTTTTGCCGTCTGATTTTCACAAGGTACATCATATCAAAAAGTCCTGTGAAGTCATCCTTCGAGTTTCAAATGTGGGAACTTGGCCCGTTGATTTGAATTATTTTTCAGAAGGAAAGAAGGCCAAATTCGGGCGTGGTTGGATGGAAGTTGTGCGTGACAATAATTTGGAAAGTGGTGATGTGTGTGTCTTTGTGTCGATCAACAACAGCGCTAAACCTTTATTTGATGTTGTCTTTTTCCGCTCTGGACAAGCTGCAAAGCGTACCAATATTGACGGGGAGAAAACAGTGCCAGCTGAGATGGAAGAAAATGTTGATGCAGCTGCTGATTCTGTTCAAAACTTGTAGCCTGGGACAAATTTCTGAAATGATTTCCTTTTGAACAAAAAATAGCATATGTTTAGGAACAGTTTTTGCTTACCACTATCAATCTCGCTGTCTGCTCCCCTCCTAGTAGCTTGCCTTGTGTTCCACTAACCAACCAATGTTAACTTTAAAAATAAATGTTTTTTCAAAATATTTAAGAAAACAAATTAAACATAACCAAAAATAAAAACAAGAAAACCCAATAGACCCAACCCTGAGAACCGTCCTCCCCCCTTCATCTCCCCAATTGTCTCTTTTAGGAATAATCTGGTAAATTTGGTTTTGTTTGTTTATCTCAGTCAACTAACCAATTGAACAATCATTCTTCTAAGTGCACCGCATGATGAATCAGTCGTTTCTTTGTGGTTTATTTATTTATTTATTATTAAACTGATGTAACGAATGGAGCTATAAATAATGTGTTCGAATTCTGATCGTTTTCACGTGAACCACCTTCTAAGCCCAAGTATTCCTCGATAACTTATTACATGCAAAGATTTCTTATGCATGACTATGAAACAGAGCAGAGGCCCTCCTTGGCATACAAATTGAGTTATGACTATGATGATTGGATTATGGTTTAAGTGTTGATAAACGTGCTCATTTTTATTAATGATACATTATTTAGTTTGCAAATTTTATCTACAAATTTAACCTTTATAGCATTACCCATTAGATATATGGGGTGTGGACTTGTCACATACCCATTGTTAATTTATGTCATTTGATCTTCTTTAATTCATTCGATCTGACAGTAGCAAATTAAGAGGATGTGTGAGAAGTAAAAAAATGTGTGTGGATAGCACATTTCTAAATAAATACAATACTTTAATTGGACTTTTGATATTCTAATAATGCTACACTTTCCAACCCTTTTTTTCAATAAACATCGCATTATCATAATTGAAGTAGACATTTTTGAAGTGCACATCGATTTCTACAAAGGGATGAATGGTTTTTCAATACAATGAATAGTGTGTATATAAAGTGAAGAATAATGCTAAGTAGATCAATTTTTTAGATTATATTTGTAATTATGTGATGTTGCGTTACCAATAATAAATAAATACGATAATCAACACTTAATAATTTAATAGAAAATTTTGTTTTAATCTCTATATAAGATTGTTTTTTTCAACCGGCCAAATCGGATTAATGGTTTCCGTGGTAATAGGATATTCGGAGGATTGCCCATGTGGTAAAAAAATTAAGATTAAACCCTTATGATGAAAATTATTAGCAAAATTAACCCAAAAAACAAACTTCTGTTAAGCTCAGTTAAGTACAAGGATAAAATGTCCAACCACGCTCTTTATTTCTGCTAGCCTTCTCTTCTTCTCTCTGTGTCTGTGCAATTATACCTCCACGGCAGCACCGCCCTCTTATTTTTAATGTCAACCACACTCTTCCGCCTTTAATGTCAACCACACTCTTTTTTTTATGGAAGCTCTTTTTTTATGTCTGACAAGTTTGCATCAAATGGGTTGCTTGACTCCAAGCCCAGCAGTGATGTCTGCTCCCTCGTCTGCAAGCGATAGCTCGCCCCCGAGCGCCTCAGCAGCACCGCCCTCTGCATCGGCACCATCGGCAGCCCGGACCTCATCGTCGGCCTCCTCGCCGCCAATTCCGCAACGTTCGCACCGTTCACATTGACAAGCGCCTTAACCTTTCGTCGGTGAGGCTGCATTCTGCCAATGGCTCCGACGACAACGTGCTTGATTTGAACAGCTTATCGGACGCCGGTATGACTGCTATCAGCGACAGATTACCCAGGCTCGAAAAGCTGAGCTTAATCTGGTGCTCCAGTGCCTCCAGTATCGGTCTAATTTTGCTGAGAAGTGTAAATTGTTGAAATCATTGGATTTGCAGGCGAGTGTTTGCTTAATTGGCTTTTAATCTCTTCTGTTATTGCCTTGTTAGGGTTGAATTTTAATGCTTGAAGTCTGCAATTCATCCTTTTAAATTTATCACCAGTTAGTTAACACGATCTCTGTTGTGCACAGAGTATTCCAAAGAAATTTGTGAAGAAATATGGAGATAAGCTTTCAAACCCAGTACTTCTTAAGCTTCCAAATGGTTCAGAATGGCCAGTAGAACTCAGAAGATGGGATGGTAAGGCTTGGCTTGACAATGTTTGGCCAGACTTCTCTGACTTTTACTCTCTACGCTGCGGTCACTGGCTAGTATTCCAATATGAAGGGAATTCCAAATTCAACGTGTTCATATTTGATAGAAGTTGCACAGAGATTGACTATCCACAAGCAATGCCCCAGATGGACTCAGCTGATCAAGATGATGATTCTGATGATGATTTAGACGATTATTCAACCCATAGGGGGAAATCTACATTGCCTTGTACTAGGCCTCACAAGAAAAACAGAACAAGTTCAAGTGGTAAAGCCTAACTCAACATCAACTTACACTATTACACATAATGTGGTTGTGGTTCCATATCATAGTTTGATCATTCAACTTTCGTCAAATGACCTTCGAGAAGTCATTGAAAAAGTTGAAAAGAACTGAAAAATTGCCAAACATGTGTTTCTATTTTTAATACATGTTATTTTGTTTTCTGCCATTACGGGTTTGCATGTAATGTTCTATATATTGCAATCTTTAACAGGGAAAGATAATTTTCCCGCTAATAAACGTGGAGAAGGCAAATCTAACACTCGAATATTCGAGAAACAAAGACCTGGGTATGTTGGGAGAATGAATCCATTGACTAAGAATGGAAAAGCTACAGCTCTTGATAGAGCTGAGGTCTTCAAATCTCAAAACCCTTCTTCTTTCCATGTTGCCATGAAGCCAACTTATCTTCGACGATTCTAGTAAGGTTACCCTTCGAGTTTCGGATGGGAGAACTTGGCATGTTGATATGAATTACGATAAAGGAAAATCCAATTTCACTTTCTGTAGAGGTTGGTTGGAATTTATGCGTGACAATAATTTGGTACTGGATGATGTGCGCGCTTTTGTGTTGAATACCAACAACACTAAACCTTTGTTTGATGTCGTCCTTTTCCGAGCCCATGATGATGGGGAAAAAACAGTGCTTGAGATACAAGAAGGTGATTTTCTACCGCGCCCAAAATCGGAGGGGAGATCTCCAATAGCACAGCAGTCCAACAAGAAAAAGAGAACAAGTTGGAGTCCGAAAGCTAGAGCTGGTCCTGAGTTTTTAGGAGCCTGGGACAAAATTCTAAATTGAGTTCCTTCTGAAGACACCCTCACAAGTCACAAGTTTCAGTATATCTAACTTTGACAATTTGGTGAAATGTCCCTGTACCACTGGGTTTTATGGCTTTCTATTTTTTTGTTGTCTCGCTTAGCCAAGGACATTTTTAGACTCCTTTCTTTAATTGCGTGATGTAATGGTGTTTTTCTTTTTCTTGGTTTTTGAATTCTCCTTTTGGTCATAAAAATTTACCTTTCATGTAATTATTAGCTATATCAAACTAACAAAATGAAATATGCATTGCTGCTGTTTAGTATTCGTAAACCTAGCATAAAACTATTTGGACACTCTTGCTTGTATTAGAGTGTCTATCAGCAAATATGTCAGTTTTGTGTATTTAAATAACATCACGTGTTTACTATTAATATTGTAGTGTCACTTTGGTGCTTTGGCAGTGTCAAATGCAATTCTGGTGTTTTGCGTGATAGTTGGTCGATGTGCAGAGTTGCTTGCGTGGCGACAATATGTGTTGAGTTGCAAGGGTTTGAATTGTTGTTTTCTTCAGGTATTATTTATTTTGTATATGGATACTTTTTAAGGTCAAGGTTACGAATTTGGACAATGTACTTTTTACTTAAATATACCATATTTAGTTCACGTATATCCTAACTTATTAAGCTTTTTTCATGATACATTGTTGTTTAATTTAAAAAATGCTCGTTCAAAAGATTTAACTTTGGAAGTTGTAACATCTTTTTTGTTAATGAGGTCTATAAGAATGAAAGAAAAATTCTAATGCTAGTGGAAATATTCCACCATATATAGAAGAAAAATAATGTTACGAGCGTGCTGCGCAACATGCTTGATGGAAATAAACTTGTACCTGTCCAGCACTGCGGTCCTTCATTTTTATCTTTTCTTTCTTCTGAGTTTACGTAAACAAAGGTGTATGCCGTAATCGGAATCCAATTCCGTAAATTGATTCCGATTACGGGTACGTAAACGTGCCATAAATCATTTCAAAGTCTGGTAGCAGTAAACAAACTTCACAGCCATTTAAAGGAGGTGGATTGTCTGCCCTCCCATTTCCATACTTTTCTCATGCCCTTCTATTTGTGTGGTCACAGTTAAGCCATGTTAACATTTTATATTCCTATTACTTTTTGTTTTATTATTTCGATAAAAAATTAATATAAAATGTTGACGTGACTTAACCATAACCACGCATCACATGAGGGCATGAGGAGAATATGAAAATGGATGGCAGACAATCCACCTCTCCATTTAAATGCCTTAAGTTTTTCGTTTTCTTTTTGGTAAGAACATCCACTAACTAATATTTTTCTTTTTCTTTTTATATTGTTCAATCAAATATTTTGACATTTTTTCTATATTTTTAGTTGGCTTTTTTTAAGGTAATAAAATATTGGGTAAATTACAAAAAACTACTTCAACTATTGGGCCAATCACAGTTTCATACTTCATGTTTAAAACATTTCTATGTCATACCTCAACTTATAAATTTGTTGCAATGTCAGACCTCCATTAACTTTTCCGTCAAATTGACTGTTAAATATTGACGTGGCTTGAGGCGAGACCCACTTCCTATTAAAAAAATAATTAAATATTACAACAACAACAACAATAACAAAGCCTTTTACCACTAAGTGGGGTTGGCTATTCTGTATCATATCCTCTGTTAGATCCAAGTACTCTAAGTCTTTTCTTAGAGTCTTTTCCAAAGTCTTCCTAGGTATTTCTCTACCCCTTTGGCCATGGACCTCTGTCCCGTAGTCGCATCTTCTAACTGGAGCGTCAGTAGGCCTTCGTTGCACATGTTCAAACCACCGTAACCGATTTTCTCTCATCTTTCCTTGAATTTCGGCTACTCCTACTTTACCTCGTATATCTTCATTCCTAATCTTATCCTTTCTCGTGTGCCCACACATCCAACGAAGCATCCTCATCTCCGCTACACCCATTTTATGTACGTGTTGATGCTTCACCGCTCAACATTCAGTGCCATACAGCATCGCCGGCCTTATTGTCGTCCTATAAAGTTTTCCCTTGAGCTTCAATGGCATATGACGGTCACACAACACACCAGATGCACTCTTCCACTTCATCCATCCAGCTTGTATTTTATGGTTGAGGTCTCTATCTAAATCTCTATTCTTTTGCAAGATAGATCCTAGGTAGCGAAATTGGTCACTCTTTGGTACTTCCTAATCTCCGATCCTCACTCCTAACTCATTTGGGCCTCCATTTGCACTGAACTTGCACTTCGTATATTCTGTCTTTGATTGACTTAGGCGAAGACCTTTAGATTCCAACACTTATCTCCAAAGGTTAAGCTTCACATTTACCCTTTCCTGAGCTTCATCTATCAACACTATATCGTCTGCGAAAAGCATACACCAAGGAATATCATCTTGAATATGTCCCGTTAGCTTATCCATTACCAATGCAGAAAGGTAAGGACTTAAAGATGAGTCTTGGTGTAACCCTACAGTTATGAGGAAGCTTTCGGTTTGTCCTTCATGAGTTCTTACGATAGTCTTTGCTCCATCATACATATCCTTTATAACTTGGATATATACTACTCGTACTCCTTTCTTCTCTAAAATCCTCCAAAGAATATCTCTTGGGACCCTATCATACGTTTTTTCCAAATCTATAAAGACCATGTGTAAATCATTTTTCATATCTCTGTATCTTTCCATTAATCTTCGTAAGAGATAGATTGCCTCCATGGTTGAGCGCCCTGGCATGAACCCAAATTGGTTGTCCGAGACCTGTGTCTCTTACCTCAATTTATGCTCAATGACTCTCTCCCAGAGCTTCATTGTATGACTCATTAGCTTAATACCCTTATAATTCATGCACTTTTGTACATCGCCCTTATTCTTGTAGATAGGCACCAAAGTACTCTTTTGCCACTCATTTGGCATCTTCTTCACTTTCAAAATCCTATCAGAAAGGTCTGTGAGCCATGTTATACTTGTCACTCCCAAGACTTTCCACACTTTGATTGGTATATCATTTGGGCCCACTGCTTTTCTATGCTTCATCTTTTTCAAAGCTAAACAACCACTTATTCCTTCCTAATTCGGCGGTAAAATGAGTAGTTTCTACACTCTTCTGAGTTACTCAACTCCCCCAGAGAAATACTCCTTTCATGTCCTTCATTGAAAAGATTATGAAAACAACCTCTCCATCAATCTTTGACCGCTTTGGAGAGGTTATTAAAAACAAACAAAATAAAATCATTTAATAATTTTTTTTAAATGGAGGACCCACACCTACAATCCCATCCCTCTTCTTCCCTATGCACCCGTGTCCCCTACCCCCAACCTTCCTTCACCACCAAAACTAGAACCCCACCATGACTCTCCCTCGTCTTCATCCTCCCTACTCGATCGTCTTCTCCACCCAGCCACCTCTGCCAAATTCCAGTCAAGTCTTCCTACTTCTGCAACTCTCCAAAAACCCTTAAATGCCCATCAAATCCTAGACTAATTACTTCATCCTTCAACTCTTTTCTTCTTCTCCTATGGGCTATGAGAACTAAGGCTCAGACGAAGCCCACCCCTCTCGTCGTCGCTGTCCTCTTTGCAAATCGTCTCTGTCGCCGCCTCTGTCACCAATATTGCAACAATGCCAACCGACGCCAATCCCCTTTTTGCGCCCTCACTGTATCGCTATCTCCGAAACCGTAGCTCGACCCCCGACAACTCCACGTACATCGACCCGCATCAAGAGCCCTGTCAAAAGCTCTGACAACTCGAGCTCGTACTCTCTCTCATGATCTCCGTCTTCTTCCTCCGAGTACCTCAAAATCACGGTGTAAAATTTCTGGGATTTTGACTTGGGCAATCTCGCCCTTGAGGATAGTGAGGGTGCAAAGTAGGGATTATAGGGGAATATGGTAGCGGAGGAGGAGGAGGATGAAGAGGAGGGGGAGGGGGAGAGAAAGGGGGATGAGGAAGAAGACAAGAGTTGGAGGACACAAGTGTGAAGGAAGGTTAAGGGTGAGGGACACGGGTGGATAGAGAAGAAGGGGGGATGGGTTTGTAAGAGTGGGTCCCTCATTTAAAAAAATTATTAAATGATTTTATTTTTCAGTTTTTAATATTTAATTAATTTTTTTTATAGGAATTGGGCTCCGCCTCAAGCCACGTCAGCATTTAACGGTCAATTTGATAGAAAAGTTAACGGAGGTCTGACATTACAACAAATTTATACGTTGAGGTATGACACTGAAATGTTTTAAACATGAGGTATGAAACTGTGATTGGCCCCATAGTTGAGGTAGTTTTTTTGTAATTCACCCTAAAACATTTATTGACTAAAAGTTGTTTCTTGTAATTTTAATGTGCTATTTTAAGTTTTATAAAATGTCAGGCTGTTGACCTTAAAAACTACCAATCCTACGTGGCGAGCATGCCAAGTAATTAATAAACTAACTACGTCCTTTGGTTATGTGCGGGGTGTGCCAACTCGTCGGTCGAGTTCGGTGGGGGAGTAAAATGTGTTGATGTGGCGTTGGGCGCGCTACTGACTTCTTGATCTTGCTATTGTGGTCGAGGAAGGAACACGTCTCGGCCTTCGGGTTCTAGAGGCTGAAGACAAGGCTGCTAGTTCTGCAAAGTTCACAAATTGTATGTTGTGTAAAACCATCTCACACTGGACGCATGTATGTCTCAGATTAGAGGTGAGGTGTATGGCTTATGTGAACATATAGCACAGCTGTAAATGGAAGGACAATGTACTTGAGGTTGTAGCTAGATAAGAATGAATGTAAACGAATGAATCAATCAATAAAATTAGCAGCTATGATTTGTTCACTCTAACTCTCTGAAAATTCCTTTTGTTCTTTACCTTTTCTCTCATAAGTTTTTACTAGAAATCCATCACATAATAGTTTTAAAAGTTAGTCCGGTAATTAAACTGTATGGACATATTACATGGGTAATATGATAAACTGTTGATATGTCATGGGTAATATATCGTGCATAAAATTATCAATTACTGCCTGCACAACGTATCGACATATTACATGCATTTTCAACAATGTCAACGTACGTTAAAGAATCGATGTCCCACACTAGGAATCTGGTGCATAAGTTTAATTCTGTCAAACAAAAATTCTAGCTAAGGAAATATCATTAAACTTTACTGGTTTTACTACATATAATATCATTAAACTTTACTGGTTTTACTACATATAAGTGCAAAATAATGACATCCATGTAACTCAAAGGCATTTGGATTTTTTATAAAAAAAAAAAAAAAAAAAAAAGAAAAAAAAAAAGGCCCTTCGAATTCATATTTGAGCCGTACTGATATTGCCAACAAATTCTTCACAAACAATTCATGAGTACATATTTGCTTACCAGTGTACTTAGTATCATTGAATGAGTTTAGATTTTGATGGTGGTAAGCAAAAGTATTCAAAAATATGTGGTGGTAGGTATACGACCAACCTAACTAAAGCTGAAACTTTTGGGGCCTTAGTGCGAAAATGAAAAATAAGATCATCTCTTGTACTAATTTTTAAAACCATGTATTAATGCCATAAACTAAAATTTATAACTCCGAATCATCAACAAAAATCATCAATTTACAAAAACTCATCGATTTTATTGTTTGACTATATTTGTCTCTTTTCTCTATTATTTTTGTTAAATTAGCTGTCCTATCATTTATAGGCTAATATGAAACCTGGCATGTGAATTTGATGTTGTTTGGCGTAACTCGTTTCAACTACATATCTGCTGGCTGGGCTGCATTTGCAAAGCGAAACTGTTTGACAGGAAAAGTTCGCATGGTTCCACATCAAAGTGCTCCAAACACGACAGGAATTATTCATACGAAGTACTGCTGCAACTGATTCAACAAATTTGTTAGAAATGAGTAAGTAGTCCTGCCTGTAATTAGTAATTCTAAGTTGGCTTTGTGTTGTACTATTGGGTTTAAATTCCTGAGCGTGTAATATGTTGTACACAGAATCAAATTCCGAAAAACAAAAACAAGAATCTTTCAGTCACTTGACAAAACCACCTAACCAAAATTCAACATAGAAATGGAGGAAGTGCAGGTGGTCATCGTCGGTGCTGGTCCGGCCGGCTTAGCAACCTCAGCGTGTCTTAATCACCTTAACATTGCAAATGCGGTACTCGAAAGAGAAGATTGCTATGCTTCTCTTTGGAAGAAAAAGTCATATGATCGTTTGAAGCTACACCTAGCAAAGCAATTTTGCGAACTTCCCTATATGCCTTTCCCTTCAGATACACCTACATACGTCCCCAAGAATTTGTTTGTTCAATACTTGGATACTTATGTATCCCAATTCAACATAAACCCTAAGTGCAACCGAAGCGTGAAGTCTGCTTTCTACGATGTGGATTTAGAGAAATGGTGTGTCAAGGTCGAGAACACGCTTTCGGGTGCACAAGAAATGTATCTTGGGAAGTTTCTTGTGGTGGCAAGTGGTGAAAATAGCGTAGGTTATATTCCTCAAGTGCGTGGCTTGGATGGGTTCAATGGGCAGGCCATTCATTCAATCAAGTATGAAAACGGCATGAAATATGGTGGGAAAAATGTTTTGGTCGTTGGTTCTGGTAATTCAGGCATGGAAATTGCTTATGATTTGTCGAGTTCGGGAGCTAATACTTCCATTGTTGTCCGTAGCCCGGTAAAACTTCTGCCTGCCTTTTTCTCCCACACAAGGACAACTAAAGTTGTTCCTTTTTTTTTTAAGCTCCTTGAATGTGCACTCAAATTTGTATCGATCATCTTATTTCAAGTACATTAATATTTAAACTTTTGTAAACATCGCAGGTACATGTTCTCAGCAAGGAAATTGTGTTCTTTGGAATGGTTTTGTTAAAACTCCTCCCAGTTGCAATAGTCGACATGGTTGTCGTAGGATTAGGCAAATTGAAGTACGGAAATTTATCCAAGTACGGAATTCAAAAGCCAAAACAGGGACCTTTTTATCTCAAGGCTACTAAGGGTCGATCCCCCACTATCGACGTTGGTTGCATTAAGAAGATTAAAACCAGAGAAATAACGGTAAAATAATTTTTAATGCATAATTTATATCTTCATTCTTTATCTTGCAGATTTATAACATTTACTTATGTTGTTGACAATTAAAATAATTAACTATCGATAAAAAATTTCATCAGGTCTTGCCTTCCATAACAAGCATAGAAGGAAATCTAATCAAATTTGAAAATGGCATCTATAATTGGTACGATGCTATCATATTTGCTACAGGCTACAAAAGCAGCGTTCTAAATTGGCTTAAGGTATGCGTTTATGTCTAATGTTTTCTTAGCATGTACCGAAGAATTGCTACTCTTTATGATATATACAGTCCAAATAACGTTGTTCATTGTTTTCTTGTGAAGGATGACAACTGCTACTTTAACGACAATGGAATGCCACAAAAGAGGTTCCCAGATCACTGGAAATCAGAAAATGGTCTTTACAGCGCTGGGTTCTCAAGCCGTGGATTGCTTGGCATTTCACATGATGCACATTGTATAGCAAATGACATTAGTTCGTGTTTGAACTTACACTGCAAGAAAATGGATTGACTGTGATGGATTATCAAGCGTGATACAGTAACATGGCATTCGTATTACATTCATGAATGTCATACTAACCTGCTGACATGATATTAAAGTTGAAGGATTTGTAACATTAATTCTTTACATTCTTTGAATTGATTTTTCAGCGAGTTAATTGATTCTTTGCATTTGTTTTTGGAAGTTGTACCTGCACTAAGTATTTATGTAATACGAATTTACCTGCACTGCATATGATCCATCTTTCTTTTTTAGAATTAGAAATTTTCCTCTTTATTCGCATACAAATAGAGCTAATTAGCATAACAGTCCGTTGGGATGTAGCTGCTTGTGGTAAGTATTGACTAAATAGGAGAATGCAAGTATTGTCCTTCAAAAACAAAAATAAAAAAAAAAATTTTACACACTTTGTGTGTGCCTATATGCTAGTTTTTAATTAAACTATCAATATCTCTTTTAACCCAAATTTACTAACTAAATTACCCTCGCAAACTCAATTCAGTATATAAATTTGTCTTTACACCCATTTGGAATATAAAAACACAAAATCAATGTTCTACAACTCATTCAAGATTTGTCTCTCTAGCGACATGTGCTTAGCTGTCATATAATTTCTTTTATAAAATGTTGTAGAATACAATTATATCTGCTACCAAAAGATTCAAATTTGTTCCTAGGTTCATTATCTAATAGAATTTTTTTCTCATGAGATTAACTATTCCACTCTTTCTTTGTTTCTTCAACCGGTATCCTCTTGCATGCTTCACAGCACATGAATGAAGTCTCTGCTGCAGACACCAACTTCATGCAGAGCGTTCTGCTGCAAACATTGAGGCATTTATTGAGGAGAAAAAAACAATCTCTTATATGCAAGCATCATGGAAAAGGCGCTGATTTTGTTCCTAAATTTTAAATTCTTAAAAAAAAAAAAAAAAAAAAAAAATCAAATCAAATGATTTTTTTTTTTTTTTGTATCAATCGATTGATACTTTAGTTAGAGGATTTAAAACTTCAAAATCATCATCTATCAGTAAAAAAGAGTTTGCTTTTCTCTATGAAAACGTCTTAAGGTTTTAGTTAGAATGAACGTTGGATAAAGATTGTGTGATGGTAGAGTTTGATTATTAGGTGGGTTTATTGATACATTTTAATTTGATTATTAATTTCATCTTATACTTGATGGTAATTATGCAATAAGGTAGAAAAGACAATTCACATTTGAAGTTTAAGTTGGGTGTAAAAAGAGGTTATATGGGTTCAAATAAAATTTTCCAAAAAAATATGAGGTGCCAAACAATCCTTAAAGAATATTTCTTGTCTTTTTGGGATGTTGGGTTCATAGTAGACCTGACATTTTCAACCCGATCCGTTAACCCGACACGACCTGTTAAAATTAGTATTCGGATGAATGATAAACGGGTCGAGTGGTTAACGGGTCAACTCGTTAATCAACGGATCATTTTGGATGAACCCGTGAAACCCGTTAAAACCCGTTAGTGAGGACTTTTGTGTAAATTCAATAGTCCTAAGCCCAAATGGGTGGCCCTATGCGGATCGAATGGCTGCAATCAGCTGGACGCGAAAAGAGACACCTCTCAGATTCAATCCCTCGCGCTCACCTTTGCTACGCCGCAATTCTCAACTTAGCTTTTGACATCCCACAAAGTCTGCAATTCTTCGAAATCCCGAAGACCCACTCCGCCAGCAGGGGTGAAATTTGCAGAGGGAGTAAAGGAATTGCCAGAGGTTGTTTTGTCCAGCGTGGACTTCATTGCTTTTTTTGCATTCGTCCAAGCTTATCCAAATTAATTGTTGTATGTTGATTTTGCTCCTGAATCAAAGTTTTGTTTTTGTTTGAGCTTAATTGCATTTTTTTTTTAATTTGTTTGTTTGTTAACCTGGTAAAAAAAAAAATTGTTAATAGTTGAAACGGATGACCTGTTAAGTACTGTTAACTTAACAGGTTATGATCCGTCAAATTAACGGGTCGAGTTGGACCCAACTCAAACCCAATAAACCTAACTCTTTTACCGGCCTAGTTCAGAGTATGCATTCAACCTAATTAAAGGCAAGTAATTTGACTCGTTTAGCTAACCGAATTAACTGGACTTTTTTGGGGTAAAATTATGTACTCCAACACCCCACGCTCAAATCGATAAAACCTAGTGAATAGAGCTTTCCTTCTACAAACCGGTAGTGCTGTTTTGAAAGACCTTTGATTCAACGTCTATGGCTTCCGCTCCCCCGGAAAATATTAACCGGCCAATATTTTCTCCGACGACTCCCCATTTTTTCAAAATCATTCTAGAGGACACTTCCAAAGACAGAAAATTTGTAAGAGTCTCTCTCCCTCTCTCTCGTCATCCATACATATGTGTGGCTACACCAAGTGAGAAAGTATTATCCGTTTCTTATGCGTGTGACAAATGTCCGCTGCAGTTATTTTATGATTACGATTATGTTTGTTTATTAGCAACAAAAACGAAGACTTTTTTTTCACAATTTTTTGATCAGTTACTTGGGATGTTTTCTGCTATGCAGGGAATTCCAAAGAAATTTGTGATGAAATATGGTGAAGGAATATCAAATCCAGTATGTCTTAAGCTTCCAAGTGGTTCAGAATGGATAGTAGAACTTAGAAGATGGGATGGTGAGGTTTGGTTTGACAATGGTTGGCCAGAGTTTTCCAAATTTTACTCTCTAGATTGCGGTCACTGGCTGGTTTTTCGATATGAGGGGAATTCCAAATTCAATGTGTGTATATTTGATAAAAGTTGCACGGAGATTGAATATCCATTAACAATGCCAAAGATGGAACTAACTTCTCATGATGAATCTCGTGACAATTCTGCAAATGATTCTAGTGATGATTATGGTGACGATTTGAGTTACAAGTCCGGTGATGGTTCTGGTGATAATTCTGCTATGATCTTAGATAAATTTTTACCTTGCCCAAGAAAAACAAGGGAGAAATCTACATTGCCAAGTCCTCAGCCTCACAAGAAAAGGATAACAAGTTGGAGTGGTAAGCATTATAAAATCTCACCGGAAGTGAAACTAAAATGACATGTTTGTTTCTATTTGTATTACGTATTGTGTTTTCAGCTAATCTGTAATATCCTACTGCAAATTGTTTTACAGGAAAATGTGATTTTCCAACCGAAAAATATGGAGTCACGTCGTCTAGCACTCCAAGTGGAGAGGTTGTAGCTCTTCGGAGAGCTATTGCTTTCAAATCACAAAACCCTTCTTTCATTGTTGTCATGAGGCTCAGTTATATCAACTCTGGGCTCTTGGTAAACTTTATAAAATTTTGTATTCATGTGTCAGTAAATAATATCGTTAATATTCTCAATCTTCATTCCCTTTTTTACTTTCTCATTCATGCTATCCTTCGTTATTTTTGTGTTCCTTCCAGTGGTTGCCATCTGAGTTTTGCAAGCTACGTCCTATTAAGAAATCCTGTGAGGTCATTCTTCAAGTTTCGGATGGGAGAACTTGGACTGTTGATTTGAGATATGAAGAAGGAAAGGCCACATTCAGGCGTGGTTGGATGGACATTGTTTGTGACAATAATTTGGAACTTGGTGATGTGTGTGTTTTTGTGTCAACTAGCAACGTAAAACCCTTATTTGATGTTTTCATTTTCCGCTCTAAAGAAGCGGCCAGTTGTAGCATTGATGAGGGAAAAACAGTGCCTAAGATGGAAGAATCTGATCAAGCAGATGGTGATTCTGTTCAAATCTTAGATGAGGATTCTACTGATGACTCTAGTGATGAGTTTAGTGAGGATTCTGATAACAATTCTAGTAATGGATCCAGTGATGATTCTTGTGATGATTCTTATGATAATTCTGTTGTAATATTTGACAAATTTCCATCCCACCAAGGAAAAACAAGTAAGAAATCTTCATTACCATGTCCTCAGCCTCAGAAGAAAAGTAGAACAGCTACAAGCGGTAAAGCAGTCTAAAATCTAAGATAGAAGTGAAAACGAAAGAACATATATATGTTTCTACATAACCATATTATGTTCTTTTATTCTCTTCTTGTTTGTAATATTTTACTTTTTTTACAGGGAAATATGATGTTCCAACTGAAAGTGGAGGCAGTATAGCCCTTCAGAGAGCTACTGCTTTCAAATCTCAAAACCCTACTTCTTTTGTTGTTGCCATGAGTCCTAGTTACATCAGCTCTTATTTCTTAGTAAGCATTCCACGAACGTCCATGTTGGCCCATTAAGATTTCGTTTACTTATATCAGTAGAAGAATCATCAATGTTTCTTTCAAAGATTTTCTTAACTTCTCCTTTCTGCATTGTTTTCTTCTTTGTGTGTTCTTTTCAGTTTTTGCCGTCTGATTTTCACAAGGTACATCATATCAAAAAGTCCTGTGAAGTCATCCTTCGAGTTTCAAATGTGGGAACTTGGCCTGTTGATTTGAATTATTTTTCAGAAGAAAAGAAGGCCAAATTCGGGCGTGGTTGGATGGAAGTTGTGCGTGACAATAATTTGGAAAGTGGTGATGTGTGTGTCTTTGTGTCGATCAACAACAGCGCTAAACCTTTGTTTGATGTTGTCTTTTTCCGCTCTGGACAAGCTGCAAAGCGTACCGATATTGACAGGGAGAAAACAGTGCCAGCTGAGATGAAAGAAAATGTTGATGCAGCTGGTGATTCTGTTCAAATCTTGTAGCCTGGGACAAATTTCTGAAATGATTTCCTTTTGAACAAAAAATATCATATGTTTAGGAACAGTTTTTGCTTACCACTATCAATCTCGCTGTCTGCTCCCCTCCTAGTAGCTTGCCTTGTGTTCCACTAACCAACCAATGTTAACTTTAAAAATAAATGGTTTTTCAAAAAATTTAAGAAAACAAATTAAACATAACCAAAAATAAAAACAAGAAAACCCAATAGACCCAACCCTGAGAACCGTCCTCCCCCCTTCATCTCCCCAATTGTCTCTTTTAGGAATAATCTGGTAAATTTGGTTTTGTTTGTTTATCTCAGTCAACTAACCAATTGAACAATCATTCTTCTAAGTGCACCGCATGATGAATCAGTCGTTTCTTTGTGGTTTATTTATTTATTAAACTGATGTAACGAATGGAGCTATAAATAATGTGTTCGAATTCTGATCGTTTTCACGTGAACCACCTTCTAAGCCCAAGTATTCCTCAATAACTTATTACATGCAAAAATTTCTTATGCATGCTTATGAAACAGATTGAGTTGTGACTATGATGATTGGATTATGGTTTAAGTGTTGATAAATGTGTTTATTTTTATTAATGATACATTATTTAGTTTGTAAATTTTGTCTACAAATTTAATCTCTCTAGCATTACCTATTACATATATGGGGTGTGGACTTCTCACACATCCCTTATTAATTTATGTCATTTGATCTTCTTTAATTTATTCGATTTGTAGCAAATTAAGAGGATGTGTGAGAAGTAAAAAAATGTATGTGGATAGCACATTCCTAAATAAATACAATTTTAATTGGACTTTTGATATTCTAATAATGCTACACTTTCCAACCCTTTTTTTCAATAAACATCGTATTATCATAATTGAATTTGACATTTTTGAAGTGCACATCGAGTTCTACAAAGGGATGAATGGTTTTTCAATACAATGAATAGTGTGTATATAAAGTGAAGAGCAATGGTAGGTCGATTAATTTTTTAGACCATATTTGTAATTATGTGATGTTACGCTACCAATAATAAATAAACACGTTAATCAAAATTTAATAATTTAATAGAAAACTTCGTTTTAATCTCTATATAAGATTATTTTTTCAATAGGCCAAATCGGATTAATAGTTCCCATAATGATAGGGTATTCGGAGGATTGCCCGGTAAAAAAATTAGAATTTAAAGGTGAAAATTATTAGCAAAATTAACCCAAAAAACAAACTTCTGTTAAACTCAGTTAGTATAAGGATAAAAAAGTCTAACCACACTCTTTATTTCTGCTCGCCTTCTCTTCTTCTCTCTGTGTCTGTGCAATTATACCTCCACGGCAGCATCGCCGTCTTTTTTTAATGTCAACCACACTCTTTTTTATTTTTTTATGGAGGCTCTTTTTTTGTCTGGCAAGTTTGCATCAAATGGGTTGCTTGACTCCAAGCCCATCAGTGATGCCTGCTCCCTCGTCTGCAAGCTTTAGCTCGCCCTCGAGCGCCTCAGTAGCACCGCCCTCTGCATCGGCACCATCGGCAGCCCGAACCTCATCGTCGGCCTCCTCGCCGCCAATTCCGCAACGTCCGCACCGTTCACATTGACGAGCGCCTTAACCTTTCGTCGGTGAGGCTGCATTCTGCAATTCTTCGTTTGAATACTTAACTGGAAATTATTGGTACATTCCTAAATGGGTTTCTTTTGGGATAATGTGTTGCAGTCTTGTTTTCATTAAAGGTGTAATTTTTTTTCGTAAGCATTCGAATAATGTTATTCCTACATTTTTAAGATTACAGAGACAGAAAGAAAATGGCTAACAGAGAATAAATGTGTGAGAGCCTGGAGAGTGAGCCGAGAGGAGGTACAATAATACAGACAGAAAGAAGGAAGAGAGAAGAAGGCTAAAAAGAAAGAGTGGTTGGATACTTCTATCGCTACATTTAACTGAGGTTTAACAGAAATCTCACATTTGGGTTAAATTTGCTAATAACCTTCACCACAAGGGTTTAAATTCTAATTTTTTTACCACATGGGTAATTTTCTGAATACCTTATCACCACGGGTACCATGAATCTAATTTGGCCTTTTTCAATAATACCATATGTAAGATAAAAAAAATAGTCCTCCATGTCACATTTAATCATTTTCAAAAAAAAATTAATGCATTTTTAGTTTCCCTATTACCCTTATTACTCTCTTAAAACCAATTAGAGAAACAAATATATAATTAATTTTTCAAGAATGCTTGATTAACTAGATCAATAAATAACATGTACGTTGTAACAATAACATTACCATAAACCGTCATGTGTTATTCCAATCAAAGAACCCATAAAACTCAGAAACCATGATCAAACAAAAAAGGCAGAAAACTTAGAAACCAAATTCTCGTTGTATTCAGAAAAAAAGAAAAGAAAAAAGGGCGTTTAGATGCCAAATTGAAGGTGAATTCAAAGATAAATGAAAAAAAAATACAAATAGAGAAAATAGAATGTGAAATCACAACCTAATTCACCGTATCGAATTGATCGAACCTACACTATATAGTACTTCACCGACCATACTGAATGGTAGGACCTAATTGACAGTACCCAAATAATGAACAATTTTGTATGTAGAACAATGTAGTGTACCTATATTCTCAATGCATTCTTTTTTATTTTTATAGTTTCGGATTCAATAAATTAAAACTAAATTGTCACATCCTGGCCCGGGCCCCCACCACATCCCGAGCTCGACTCCACCGTAATACGATATTGTCCGCTTTGGCCCCCGACCACGCCCTCACGGTTTTGTTTCTGGGAACTCACACGAGAACTTCCCAGTGGGTCACCCATCATGGGATTGCTCTCGTGCGAACTCGCTTAACTTCGAAGTTCCGATGGAACCCGAAGCCAGTGAGCTCCCATAAGGCCTCGTGCTAGGTAGAGATGAGAATATACATATAAATCTTACAGGATCCACTCCCTTGAACGATGTGAGATGTTACAAAATCCAGAGATAAATGAAAAGAACAATTTTTTATTTAGAAAAAATGGAATGTGAATCATAACCTAATAGACCGTACCGAATTGATCAGACCTAAACTATATAACGTACCTAATTTATCGGACCTAATCTATCAGACCTAATTTATCGGACCTGGTGAACTAAAACATAAAAAATACAAATCGTACCAAATTGACTGTATCAAATCTATCGGACCTGAACTATATAACGTACTTAATTGATCGTACAGAAGCTATCGGACATAAATTAGTGCATTCTCCACACAATATAAAATTTGAATAAATATAAATAAAAAAACAAAACAAAAAAAACAAAAAGTAGGTAGTTATAGAAAATAAGGATGACATTTTTTAGACAATGAAGATGGATGTTACTTTTACGAGTCATAATGATGAAACTATTACATTTTTCAAATTTTTATGGTGGAGGTTACATTGTAGACAATAAGGATGACATTCTTGTAAATAGTAGAGTAGTAAAACATGTGGTTTATTATTAGTGACATGCCATGGTGTATTAAAATGAAGGATCCTTTTTAGACATTGAAAACCTTCCCGGTTATATTCTAAAAATCATTTGTCACAAGCCATTATATCTAAAAGCCTCATAATTTAATTATTAACAATCACATCATATGATTTATAAAATATGGTTTAAACATATAGGTTTGCAGTATTACCTTAAAGTAAAATTTAGAATGGAAAAAAATTGAGTTATTAAACCTTTTTTTTTTATCCCTCCATTTATTCACGACCATATATATTAACTCAACCAGTATGCAGCTTTCTTCCAAGAACCTGGTGGCAAAGCTTTGAAAAAGACAATTGAAGTGTCGCTATGGCTTCTGTACACGGGAAAACTGATAACTGGCCTCCCCATTTTTTTAAAGCCATCCTAGAGGACACTTCTAGCAACAGAAAACTAGTAAGCACCTCTCTCTCTCTCTCTCTCTCTCTCTCTCAGAAACGGGTCTCCGTCGATATGCTTGTGAAAGATGTTTCTTGCCGTCACTATGCTTTTAAATAATATTGTTAGCCACAATATTGTTTGAGATGATTCATTTTTTAGCTACAAATATAGCCGATAATTCATCCTTTTAAATTTATCACCAGTTAGTTAACACGATCTCTGTTGTGCACAGAGTATTCCAAAGAAATTTGGGAAGAAATATGGAGATAAGCTTTCAAACCCAGTACTTCTTAAGCTTCCAAATGGTTCAGAATGGCCAGTAGAACTCAGAAGATGGGATGGTAAGGCTTGGTTTGACAATGGTTGGCCAGACTTCTCTGAGTTTTACTCTCTACGCTGCGGTCACTGGCTAGTATTTCAATATGAAGGGAATTCCAAATTCAACGTGTTCATATTTGATAGAAGTTGCACAGAGATTGACTATCCAGAAGCAATGCCCCAGATGGACTCAGCTGATCAAGATGATGATTCTGATGATGATTTAGACGATTATTCAACCCATAGGGGGAAATCTACATTGCCTTGTACTAGGCCTCAAAAGAAAAACAGAACAAGTTCAAGTGGTAAAGCCTAACTCAACATCAACTTACACTATTACACATAATGTGGTTGTGGTTCCATATCATAGTTTGATCATTCAACTTTCGTCAAATGACCTTCGAGAAGTCATTGAAAAAGTTGAAAAGAAAGGAAAAATTGCCAAACATGTGTTTCTATTTTTAATACATGTTATTTTGTTTTCTGCCATTAGGGGTTTGCATGTAATGTTCTATATATTGCAATCTTTAACAGGGAAAGATAATTTTCCCGCTAATAAACGTGGAGAAGGCAAATCTAACACTCGAATATTCGAGAAACAAAGACCTGGGTATGTTGGGAGAATGAATACATTGACTAAGAATGGAAAAGCTACAGCTCTTGATAGAGCCGAGGTCTTCAAATCTCAAAACCCTTCTTCTTTCCATGTTGCCACGAAGCCAACTTATCTTCGACGATTCTTGGTAAGTCGTTCAAGACCATCACAAAGTATGTTTACTTGTATCAGTAGATTTCCTTACTCTTTTTTTCTTGTTTTTGTTTTTATTTTTTCTTCAGTGGTTGCCCTCTGAGTGTCGCAATCTACATCTTGTGAGGGATTCTAGTAAGGTTACCCTTCGAGTTTCGGATGGAAGAACTTGGCCTGTTGATATGAATTACGACAAAGGAAAATCCAGTTTCACTTTCTGTAGAGGTTGGTTGGAATTTGTGCGTGACAATAATTTGGTACTGGATGATGTGTGCGCTTTTGTGTTGAATACCAACAACACTAAACCTTTGTTTGATGTCATCCTTTTCCGAGCCCATGATGATGGGGAAAAAACAGTGCTTGAGATAGAAGAAGGTGATTTTCTACCCTGCCCAAAATCGGAGGGGAGATCTCCAATAGCACCGCAGTCCCACAAGAAAAAGAGAACAAGTTGGAGTCCGAAAGCTAGAGCTGGTCCTGAGTTTTTAGGAGCCTGGGACAAAATTCTAAATTGAGTTCCTTCTGAAGACACCCTCACAAGTCACAAGTTTCAGTATATCTAACTTTGACAATTTGGTGAAATGTCCTTGTACCACTGGTTTTTATGGCTTTCTATTTTTTTGTTATTTCGCTTAGCCAAGGACATTTTCAGACTCCTTTCTTTAATTGCGTGATGTAATGGTGTTTTTCTTTTTCTTGGTTTTTGAATTCTCCTTTTGTTCACAAAAATTTACCTTTCATGTAATTATTAGCTATATCAAACTAACAAAATGAAATATGCATTGCTGCTGTTTAGTATTCGTAAAACTAGCATAAAACTATTTGGACACTCTTGCATGTATTAGAGTATCTATCAACAAATATGTCAGTTTTGTGTATTTAAATAACATCACGTGTTTACTATTAATATTGTAGTGTCACTTTTGTGCTTTGGCAGTGTCAAATGCAATTCTGGTGTTTTGCGTGATCGTTGGTCGATGTGCAGAGTCGCTTGCGTGGCGACAATATGTGTTGAGCTGCAAGGGTTTGAATTGTTGTTTTCTTTGGGTATTATTTATTTTGTATATGGATACTTTTTAAGGTCAAGGTTACGAATTTGGACAACGTATTTTTTACTTAAATATACCATGTTTAGTTCACGTATGTCCTAACTTATTAGGCTTTTTTCATGATACATCGTTGTTTAATTTAAAAAATGCTCGTTCAAAAGATTTAACTTTGGAAGTTGTAACATCTTTTTTGTTAATGAGGTCTATATGAATGAAAGAAAAATTCTAATGCTAGTGGAAATATTCCACCATATACAGAAGGAAAATAATGTTACGAGCGTGCATGCGCAACATGCTTGATGGAAATAAACTTGTACCTGTCCAGCACTGCGGTCCCTCATTTTTATCTTTTCTTTCTTCTGAGATTACGTAAACAAAGGTGTATGCCATAATCAGAATCTAATTCCGTAAATTGATTCCGATTATGGGTACGTAAACGTGCCATAAATCATTTCAAAGTCTGGTAGCAGACAAATAAACTTCACAGCCATTTAAAGGAGGTGGATTGTCTGCCCTCCCATTTCCATACTTTTCCCATGCCCTTCTGTTTGTGTGGTCACAGTTAAGCCACGTTAACATTTTATATTCCTATTACTTTTTGTTTTATTATTTCTATAAAAAATTAATATAAAATGTTGACGTGACTTAATCGTAACCACGCATCACATGAGGGCATGAGGAGAATATGAAAATGGGACGGCAGACAATCCACCTCTCCATTTAAATGCCTTAAGTTTTTCGTTTTCTTTTTGGTAAGAACATCCACTAACTTGTATTTTTCTTTTTCTTTTTATATTGTTCAATCAAATATTTTGACATTTTTTCTATATTTTTAGTTGGCTTTTTTTAAGGTAATAAAATATTGGGTAAATTACAAAAAACTACTTCAACTATTGGACCAATCACAGTTTCATACGTCATGTTTAAAACATTTCAATGTCATACCTCAACTTATAAATTTGTTGCAATGTCAGACCTCCGTTAACTCTTCCGTCAAATTGACTGTTAAATATTGACGTGGCTTGAGGCGAGACCCCTTCCTATTAAAAAAATTAATTAAATATTACAACAACAACAACAACAACAACAACAAAGCCTTTTACCACTAAGTGGGGTTGGCTATTCTGTATCATATCCTCCGTTAGATCCAAGTACTCTAAGTCTCTTCTTAGAGTCTTTTCCAAAGTCTTCCTAGGTATTTCTCTACCCCTTTGGCCATGGACCTCTGTCCCGTAGTCGCATCTTCTAACCGGAGTGTCAATAGGCCTTCGTTGCACATGTCCAAACCATCGTAACCGATTTTCTCTCATCTTTCCTTGAATTTCGGCTACTCCAACTTTACCTCGTATATCTTCATTCCTAATCTTATCCTTTCTCGTGTGCCCACACATCCAACGAAGCATCCTCATCTCCGCTACACCCATTTTATGTACGTGTTGATGCTTCACCGCTCAACATTCAGTGCCATACAGCATCGCCGACCTTATTGTCGTCCTATAAAATTTTTCCTTGAGCTTCAGTGGCATACGACGGTCACACAACACATCAGATGCACTCTTCCACTTCATCCATCCAGCTTGTATTTTATGGTTGAGGTCTCTATCTAAATCTCTGTTCTTTTGCAAGATAGATCCTAGGTAGCGAAATTGGTCACTCTTTGGTACTTCCTAATCTCCGATCCTCACCCCTAACTCATTTGGGCCTCCATTTGCACTGAACTTGCACTTCGTATATTCTGTCTTTGATTGACTTAGGTGAAGACCTTTAGATTCCAACACTTCTCTCCAAAGGTTAAGCTTCGCACTTACCCTTTCCTGAGTTTCATCTATCAACACTATATCGTCTGCGAAAAGCATACACCAAGGAATATCATCTTGAATATGTCTCGTTAGCTTATCCATTACCAATGCAAAAAGGTAAGGACTTAAAGATGAGCCTTGGTGTAACCCTACAGTTATGAGGAAGCTTTTGGTTTGTCCTTCATGAGTTCTTACGATAATCTTTGCTCCATCATACATATCCTTTATAACTTGGATATATACTACTCGTACTCCTTTCTTCTCTAAAATCCTCCAAAGAATCTCTCTTAGGACCCTATCATACGTTTTTTCCAAATCTATAAAACCATGTGTAAATCATTTTTCATATCTCTATATCTTTCCATTAATCTTCGTAAGAGATAGATTGCCTCCATGGTTGAGCACCCTGGCATGAACCCAAATTGGTTGTCCGAGACCCGTGTCTCTTACCTCAATCTATACTCATTGACTTTCTCTCAGAGCTTCATTGTATGACTCATTAGCTTAATACCCTTATAATTCATTCACTTTTGTACATCGCCCTTATTCTTGTAGTGCTCTTTAGCCACTCATTTGGCATCTTCTTCGCTTTCAAAATCCTATCGGAAAGGTCTGTGAGCCATGTTATACTTGTCACTCCCAAGACTTTCCACACTTCGATTGGTATATCATTTGGGCCTACTGCTTTTCTATGCTTCATCTTTTTCAAAGCTAAACAACCACTTATTCCTTCCTAATTCGGCGGTAAAAAGAGTAGTTTCTACACTCTTCTGAGTTACTCAACTCCCTCAGAGAAATACTCCTTTGATGTCCTTCATTGAAAAGATTATGAAAACAACCTTTCCATCTATCTTTGACCGCATTGGAGAGGTTATTAAAAACAAATAAAATAAAATCATTTAATAATTTTTTTTAAATGGAGGACCCACACCTACAATCCCATCCCTTTTCTTCCCTATGCACCCGTGTCCCCTACCCCCAACCTTCCTTCACCACCAAAACTAGAACCCCACCAAGACTCTCCCTTGTCTTCATCCTCCCTACTCGATCGTCTTCTCCACCCAGCCACCTCTGCCAAATTCCAGTCAAGTCTTCCTACTTCTGTAACTCTCCAAAAACCCTTAAATGCCCATCAAATCCTAGACTAATTACTTCATCCTTCAACTCTTTTCTTCTTCTCCTATGGGCTATGAGAACTAAGGCTCAGACGAAGCCCACCCCTCTCGTCATCGCTATCCTCTTTGCAGATCGTCTCCGTCGCCGCCTCTGCCACCACTATTGCAACAACGCCAACCGACAACAATCCTCTTTTTGCGCCCTCACTGTATCGCTATCTCCGAAACCGTAGCTCGACCCCCGACAACTCCACGTACATCGACCTGCATCAACTCGAGCTCGTACTCTCTCTCATGATCTCCGTCTTCTTCCTCCGAGTACCTCAAAATCACGGTGCAAAGTAGGGATTATAGGGGAATATGGTAGAGGAAGAGGAGGAGGATGAAGAGGAGGGGGAGGGGGAGAGAAAGGGGGACGAGGAAAAAGAAAAGAGTTGGAGGACACAAGTGTGAAGGAAGGTTAGGGGTGAGGGACACGGGTGGATAGAGAAGAAGGGGGGATGGGTTTGTAGGAGTGGGTCCCTCATTTAAAAAAAAATTATTAAATGATTTTATTTTTTAGTTTTTAATATTTAATTAATTTTTTTTATAGAAATTGGGCTCCGCCTCAAGCCACGTCAGCATTTAACGGTCAATTTGATAGAAAAGAAGGAGGTCTGACATTACAACAAATTTATAAGTTGAGGTATGACACTGAAATGTTTTAAACATGAGGTATGAAACTGTGATTGGCCCAATAGTTGAGGTAGTTTTTTTGTAATTCACCCTAAAACATTTATTGACTAAAAGTTGTTTCTTGTAATTTTAATGTGCTATTTTAAGTTTTATAAAATGTCAGGCTATTGACCTTAAAAACTACCAATCCTATGTGGCGCGCATGCCGAGTAATTAATAAACTAACTACATCCTTTGGTTATGTGCGGGGCGTGCCAACTCGTCGGTCGAGTTCGGTGGGGGAGTAAAATGTGTTGATGTGGCGTTGGGCGCGCTGCTGACTTCTTGATCTTGCGATTGCGGTCGAGGAAGGAACACGTCTCGGCCTTCGGGTTCTAGAGCCTGAAGACAAGGCTGCTAGTTCTGCAAAGTTCACAAATTGTATGTTGTGTAAAACCATCTCACACTAGACGCATGTATGTCTTAGATTAGAGGTGAGGTGTATGGCTTATGTGAAAATATAGCACAGCTGTAAATGGAAGGACAATGTACTTGAGGTTGTAGCTGGATAAGAATGAATGTAAACGAATGAATCAATCAATAAAATTAGCAGCTATGATTTGTTCACTCTAACTCTCTGAAAAACACTCTCTGAAAATTCCTTTTGTTCTTTACCTTTTCTCTCATAAGTTTTTACTAGAAATCCATCACATAATGGTTTTAAAAGTTAGTCCGGTAATAAAACTGTATCGACATATTACATGGGTAATATGATAAACTGTTGATATGTCATGGGTAATATATCGTGCATAAAATTATCAATTACTGCCTGCACAACATATCGACATATTACATGCATTTTCAACAATGTCAACGTACGTTAAAGAATCGATGTCCC